GGGGCGGTGATTGGCGCTGGGAGCCTCTGGTCATGTGCAAAAGTCGGGTGGGGGATGGTGGCTGGGAGTCCTGGTCCCCGCCCCACCCCACGCAGCTTTTGCACATGACCACAGGGCTCCTAGCGCCAATCGCGGCCCCGCCTCCCAGTCGCTTCCATCCGGCGCCCAGCCGGGAATTCAGGAAATACCGGACATTGCACATGTCTGGTATTTTCTGAATTTTTCTACTGGATAGACGGTGCGAAAACCGGACACCTGGCAACCCTACCCACACCACAGGGAGGGAGGCGGCAGCACAGCCTGAGCCTCCCCAGACTCCCGGAGCAGCGTGGAGGCCGTGGCCTGAGCCGGCCTGCACCTCCCTGCCCTCAGGAGAAGGGGGGAGGGAGGCAGCCACATGGCTCCAGCCTCCCTGCCCCTAGGAGCAGCGGGGAGGGAGGCAGCAGTGTGGCATGAACCGCCCTAAGCAGGGGGAGGGCAGGCGATTGGGGCAGCAACACTTTACCCCCAGAACACCTACAGTGGGCTTTGGGGGGGCAGTTTGGGAAGGAAATGTCTTCCCTTGCCTAAGCCACCAGACACCCATGACTGTGATATGTATAGGGTTAAGAATCAGCCGTATTTTCTACAATATGTTGACTTACACGCTGGCTCTATTTGGTCCCAGGCACGGAAGCACAAAAAGTAGACTTGGACATTACACCGTATGAGTAAGCAGTCCTGGTAGCCCAGATCCCTGACTAAAACCTGCATCATCCGTGGGGTCATTATTTCACCATAGCCGGACATGGCTCCAAAGAAACTATTTAGTTCCTTGGTATGCAGAAAATAAATCTCTGCTGGCAGGACCCAGAGTACTTATAGAAGCAGCCCAGGAACACTGTTAAATTACTACACCTATGTTAGCTTATTACAGCAGTGCATCCCTGGGGGTCCTTATTCCAGAGTATTTCTGTTTACAGTTAGGTATCTGAGGGTGAGCAGAGGGAAATCACAATAGATGTGAACTATCTAGTCTGCCAGAAAAAAATCTAATTGAAATGCTGACCCACCTATCACTCTCAAACCTACATTCTTTAGCCATTACTAGAAAACAGGATCAAAGACAAGCCTGAGTAAACAAAGGTGGCTCCTTTGCATTTCCCTGACTTGTGGTAGGTGCACAGTTAGTCTGGACTTACAGAAAGTGAAAGGACTTGTAACTGGAAAAGGAAGCAATGGCGATATTGTTCTATATCAGTGTTTCTCAACCAGTGGTACAAGTACCCGTAGGGGTACTTGAGATAAGTCTGGGGGATACGTCAACACAACAGAAATTTGGAGATAACTGAAAACTGAAGTGAAAGTTCTTTTTCACACAGCGCATAGTCAGCCTGTGGAACTCCTTGCCAGAGGAGGCGGTGAAGGCTAGAACTATAAGGCTACATCTACATTGGCCCCTTTTCCGGAAGGGGCATGTTAATTTCAGAGGTCGTAATAGGGAAATCCGCGGGGGATTTAAATATCCCCCGCGGCATTTAAATAAAAATGTCCGCCGCTTTTTTCCAGCTTTTAGAAAAGCCGGAAAAGAGCGTCTACAGGATTTCCCTATTACGACCTCTGAAATTAACATGCCCCTTCCGGAAAAGGGGCCAATGTAGACGTAGCCTTATAGTTCTAGCCTTCACCGCCTCCTCTGGCAAGGAGTTCCACAGGCTGACTATGCGCTGTGTGAAAAAGAACTTTCACTTCAGTTTTCAGTTTTCTCCAAATTTCTGTTGTGTTGACGTATCCCCCAGACTTCTCTCAAGTACCCCTACGGGTACTTGTACCACTGGTTGAGAAACACTGATATAGAACAATATCGCCATTGCTTCCTTTTCCAGTTACAAGTCCTTTCACTTTCTGTAAGTCCAGACTAACTGTGCACCTACCACAAGTCAGGGAAATGCAAAGGAGCCACCTTTGTTTACTCAGGCTTGTCTTTGATCCTGTTTTCTAGTAATGGCTAAAGAATGTAGGTTTGGTCTGACCCAGTATGGACATTCTTATGTTCTTATGAATTTATCTTTTAAGTTTTACAGCGCTTTATTATTTTTACACCCAAAAATTTCATTGCCCTTTAAGTTGTTTAAACAAATATGTTGCAATGGTAGAAAGAAAATTTGTGTCTAAAAACTGTAGGTACTGCGGGTATATATATAAATAAATGGGGCACTGTGATAGGGCGCCTCCGCCCCACACTGAAACCCCCTCTCAAACACAGAAGCAGAGAAGTGGGGGGTTTGCAGGGCAGGAACAGAGAGCCATGGGGAACCCCGTTCAGGGAACGGCGGAGTCCCAGGAGAGTGGCAGAGCGGGGGAGGCACTGGGATGGGCCCCGGGGATGCACGGGGATGATGTTATCGGGGACGTCATCCCCAAGAACCAGGAAGGGACATATGGGGATGACGTCATTGGGGACGTGAAAAGGGGCCTCCCTGAGCCAGAGGCGGGGGGGGGAAGATGTGGGAGAGAAGCGCAAGCGGCCGGAGACCGGGATCTACGGAGACACCCTGGGTGAGCTTTAACCCGGGTCCCCCGGGTAGTCGTGGACGCAACACTGGGGAAGAAGTGGCCCAGGGCAGGGGCGTGGACCCCGTGAGCGGGGGAGTTTAGGGGTTACAACCTCCTCCGCTAGGTAGGGACATGGGTCCCTGCCTTAGGGCCCTGGGTTGGGGTTCGGAGCGAGGGCGGGCCCGAACCCCCTTCCCTGACCGCCCAAGATCTAAAACCCGCCTTGGGAGGGCGGATCTTCTCCCAGAATTGCCTGTGAACTGCAGAATTAAATAAACTACGTAACTAATACTGAGCACAAAGGGGGTAAATCAAGGTGCAGACGCAAACCCTGCTGGGGAATTCGTAAGAGGAACTTATTTTTTTTTTTTGAGAAAGGGGTACTTTATAAAAAAAGGTTGGGAAGCACCATTCTATATGATCAGCCCTTCACAGACATTGGGCCTGATCCTTATCAGAGCTCCCTTCAAATCCAGAGCCCCACCACCAATGTTCCCTCTAATCTTTTCCATCCAGGTGCAGATTTTTTCTCTCTGAGTGAGTGGAATACATTTTATATGCAGATGTGCACCACCACTAGGAACACAAAACTCACTGTGGGCACCCTGCTAATCAGCTGGGTGGCATTAGAATCTCTTCAGAGTGGCCGCACAAGCTCCCAGCTTGCAGGGAACACTGCCCGTTACTCCCATACACTTCTCCCCACCCAGGGAAACTAGAAATGGCCCCCAATTGAAACAATTTTTAAAAAGGACCAGGTCTCAGTGAGCACAGCTCTGGACTACTGCCCAGTTCAGTCCATCTCTAGCTAAAACATTTTTGTGGGCTGGGAGGATTTATCCCTTATTATTTGGGCAACATGCTTCCTTGATTTATGCCCTGGCCAACCGCAGCAATATAAGTCACAGCAGACTTTGGCCGTTGGACTTTTATTTCTGTGGCTGAATAGTGAATTTCTTGGAAAAGGATCTAGCATCAAAATGTTTGTTGGTGGAAGGGGGCAGGAGAAGCGACGGGGCTAGATGAAACTAAGGTTATTTTTCCAGTGGATGCTATGTGTAGTCCCTGTTCATTCTAGTAACCCTCTGTCCAGTCACACAAAGCCTTAAACGTGCAAAGTTTAAAATGGTGTCCAGTGAAATTCAATACACTTGATTCCAGTGCGAAAATCTAGGCTGTCTTGATTAGGGGCTTGATCCAAAGTGTCTTAAAATCAAGGGAAAGACTCCTATTGGCTTTGGATCAGGCCCCTGGACAAGAAACAGAGCAGTGGCTCCATTTACTTGATCAATCCCATCTGTGAACACAATGTTTTCTGAAGGAATCTGATTCGTTGGACACAGAACAATTCTTAGTGCTCTGGCCTGTTTCTCCAATCAATGATCCAAGCTAGTAACAGTCACTCTAGGTACATAAATGATTATGCAACCGTGAAGAGCTCCAGGTTTCAAAGACGTTAGTTATTATATCTCTGCCAGGGTTTCCTAACCTACTCTCTTCTGTCCAAATCTCTTACACTCAGACCTTTTATAAATTTCATGTGTAAATGAAAGGCCAATTCCAGGCAGCCGAACAGAAAATCAAGAGACAGTTAAATAAAACAGTCAAGGAAAGTGGCTGTTTTACGCAGAATGCACACACTCTTCCATGAAGCTTAAATCCTTTCCGGGAGACTGTTGTTGTAGAGGTGTAGCCCTGGCATCTTTGCTGATGACTGTGGGTCATTTTATGAAGCTGATGCATTGTTGCAAACCCTCAGTGTTTCTGCTCCCAAAGGAGCCATTGGTCTTTAGAGCACATTATCATCTGGAACCACAGCTATTGACTGTTTTTGGGGAAAAGTTCAAATTCCTTTTTGGGGACTGCTTTGTTTGTATTTCCACCAGCGTTAAGAAACACCAGGAGATGCACTGCCTCTTGAATTCTGGGAAGGGAATAAGCCATCAGGGGAT